TATGATAAGCAAGAGTGCCTCTACCAAAATTGTGATTTTTTTTTTACCCCAGGTTAGGGGTTCTGGTGTTAGGGCGGGGCTCTATTGAAATATAATGAAAATACGTACATTAATTCTTTGAAAATCTTCTTTTCTACTTCTGGGTATTACACAAACTAACTAAGTACATAGTTATGTTGATCAGGAGTGCCTCTTTCAGAATTGTGAATTTTGTTGCCCAGGGCCAGGGGTTCTGGTGTTAGGGTGGGGCCCTATGTAGTGAAAATACATTCTTTGAAAATCTTCTTCTCTGCTCCTGGTTATTAAATAAACTATCCAAGCACATAGTTATGATGAGCATAAGTGCCTCTTCCAAAATTGTGAATTATATGACACCAGGGTCAGGGATTCTGGTGTTTTGGTGGGGCTGTATATGATTATATAGTGAAAATGCATTTATTCTTTTGAAAATCTTCTTCTCTATGTCTGGGTATTAAATAAACTAACTATGTACATAGTTATGTTGATCAAGAGTGCCTTTCAGAATTCTGAATTTTGTGGCCCCCATGCAGGGTCAGGGGTTTTGGTGTTAGGGCAAGGCTCTATTGATTATGTAGTGAAAATGCATTCTTTGAAAATCTTCTCTGCTCCTGGTTATTAAAAAAACTATCCAAGAACATAGTTATGATGAGCAAGAGTGCCTCTTCCAAAATTGTGAATTTTATGACCCCAGAATCAGGGATTCTGGTGTTAGCGCGGGGCTCTATTGGTTTTATAGTGAAAATGCATTTATTCTGTGAAAATCTTTCCTTTGCTCCTGGGTTTTAGGCCAATGATCCAAGTATATATATATCTATGATGAAGAAAGTTGCATCTAGCAAAATGTTTTTTTTTATAACCCCCCCCCCCTGGTCGGGGGTGAGGGGAGGGGGGTAGAAAGTCTGAAAATAAATTAATGGTTTGAAATCTGCTCTTTGGTATTAGTCAACCATTTTATGATAAAATTTGCACAATTTTGAAATATGTGGCCCCAGGTTTCGTGGTTCCTTTGGGATGAGGTCCACAACTGGTTATAAAGTGGAAGTGCATTTTCTCTTATGTTACTCTGATCTTCCTCTGGATATTACGTATTACAAATAAAGTAAGCATGCTATGTCTTTAATTAGGGCCTCAAGGATTTGCGGGTGCCATATAGTAATCACTATGTCTCTGTCCGTCTGTCACTCTTCCGTCCACAAATTTTCTGTTTTTTTCTAATAACTTTTTTTATGGTTGTCCAATCAAGTTTAAATTTGGTATGGTAGTTCAATAGGCAGAAATACATATTTTGATGCTAAGTTTAATTCTCTATGTCTTCTAGTTTGGAGCTGGGGTGGTGGGGTAGATTCCTTAACTATGCATAAGAATGAACTTGCAACTTTTTTTATGGTTGCCCAATTAAGATCAAATTTGGTGCAGTAGTTCAGTAGGCAAAAATACATATTTTGATGCTAAGTTTGGTTCTCTATGTCCCTTGGTTTGGAGCTGGGGTGGTGGGGTAGATTCCTTAACTTTATATAAGAATGCATTGGCAAAGAGAGATAACTGCTGAAGTTGTTCCCATTCAGTAAACTGAATGCTTCTAGGAGCCCCATGGGATTAATTAGCTTTCCTCCTGAAGAAAATCCAGAGCATTATCTTTTTCTGTCACATTGAGATTTATTACCACCTCTGTCTGCAAATGAAGTTTGTTTTGAAGTTAAATCAATTTGGAATGCTATGAACACTCTGAAATGTGGATCGATTTAAATATAAATTTTTATTTATTTTTGTTTGATAGTTATGATTTCATTGAATTCTAAAAAAAAGAAAAGAAATTGATTAAAGAAGATTTTTTGATTTACCAGGGTACTTTTTTTCTCACTTTTTTCACTTTTTTTTTTAAATATATTAATTCAAGAATATTTTAAATTTTAATGTAGTTGTATAAAAACCCCATTCTATCATTAATACTGAAAAAGTTCTTATTGTAAATTTAGAAGAAAATGATGAGAGAGGTACAATTAATCCCTTGGGATTAATTATCTAGCCCGCTGCAGAAAATTTAGTAGGCTTTTCTTTATCTGTCACTTTAAGATTAATGAAAACCTTTGTCTGCAACTGCTGTTTGTTTGAAGTTAAGGTCAAGCCTTCATGATATTTGCATTCATTGAAGGCTGGCATTTTATATAACACAAGATTCATAATTGTTTGAAAATACATTCAATGTTAAGTTGTTCTTTACTGCCTAATGTAAATACAAGGATATTATTTTCAGGTTTTTGAATATTCGGGAATTATCTTGAAATTTTAAGAATACAGTTGCTGTTGCTTTTTCTTTGTACATTTATTAATCATTCTGTAAGCTGCACCCTTTTAATTCTTCCCCATGGCGGGGCCCTTGCTGACTGGTCAGTTTTCTAGTATTAATGTGGTCGTAATCTTAAATGGCTGCCCCCCGACCCCCAACCCCCTTTCGCCATGATTAAAATCAACAAGACTTTACAGGTAACAACATCAAAACTGAACAATAACGGTAGCTGGCCCCGCCGCTATGTAAACACGGTCTCAGGTAGCACCGCGATCAAAACCCGCAATGGTGTAATGTGGAAAGGATTAATACACCGCAGAGGGGACATGGTGCAATATGGGATCCGTGTTGCCTGTACTGTATAAATTACTTTGCTATATTTGTACCAGGGTAATTTATTATATCCATATGAGGAATTGGTTGAATTTATATAGCTTGGGATCCAAGATGACTTCGCTATATGTGTGAATTCACAATATATGTGTTTGTACTAAATGGGTTTTACTGTAATGACAACATTAAGTTTTTTGTATTATTCGGTACATTTTATTCCCTGTGAAATACACATGTAGGAGTGTGTTTTTAAAAGGTGTTTTGAAGATTTCAACATGAAATATCTGGTTAGACTAATTGTAAAACCTGTCAACGAACCAGATAATTCTGGACTCTTGAAAACTCAAACTCTTGAGCTGAAAGCTCAAGTGAGCTTTTCTGATCATCCGTTGTCCATAGTCTGTCTGTCTGTCCGTCTGTAAACTTTTCATATTTTCGACTTCTTCTCAAGAACCACTGGACCAATTTTTACCGAACTTGGTACAAAGAATCGTTATGTAGATGTAAATCTAAATTGTTAGAATAAAGGGCAAAATCTGCATCCAAGGGGAGATAATTAAACAAATACAAAAATAGGGTGGTGTCATTAAAAAATCTTCTCAAGAACCACTGGGCTAGAAAAGCTGAAACTTATGTGGAAAAATTCTGTGGTCGTGTAGATTTTAAATGTGCTCAAATCCCGACCCCGGGGGTAGGATGGGGCCTTAATAGGGAATCCAAGTTTTACATTGAACTACATAGAAAAAAAACTTTAAAAATCTTCTCAAGAACCACTGGGCCAGAAAATCTTTTAACTTCAAAGAAATGTACTTCAGGGTTGGGACCCTAAAACAAGGGGAGATAATCAGGAAAATAAAACCAAAAGTACTGGTTGCTAAAAAATCTTTTTCTCCAGAACCACCGGGCTGATTTTCACCAAACTTACATACAAGGATCAGGATATGTTGAAGATTAAAAATTGTTCAAGGCATGACCCTGGGGCAAAGGGTGTGGTCTCAAGGTCACTTCAAAGTTGACCTAAATTTACAATTAATAAAATTTTTTATATTTTGCTTACTATAAGGACTAGGATCATCAAATCTTGTAAGTTGATGCATCTTAGGACTTCACATCATGTGAACTCAAAAGTAGGTCATGGTGACCTATTTTTTAATTTTGCAGGCATTTATTTTCAAATTGATTTGAAGGCATATTTTGGACACTTTAAGGCCTATGATCATCAAACTTTGTCAGTTGATGCATCTTGGGTCCTTGAACAACGTCAACTTAAGAGTAGGTCACTGTGACCTACTTTTTGAACTTTATGACTTATCTTTTTTAAAACATTTAATCCAATTATTTCCGACACTAAGAGGGTTAGAATCATCAAATCTTGTAAGTTGCTGCATCTTGGGACCTTAAAACATATTTATGAAAAAGTAGGTCACTGTGACCTACTTTTAGTATGTTGCAGGCATTTGTTTTCAAATTGTTTAAAAGGCATATTTTGATTACTTTCAGACCTACAATCATCAAACTTGGTCAGCAGATGCATCTTGGGACTCTGAAAAATGTCAACCAAAATGTAGGTCACAGTGACCTACTTTCAACATTTTATGGCTATATTTAAGTATCTTTGGTATTTATTGGCTTAAGATCATCCAACCTTATGAGTTGATGCATCTTGGGTTTTCGGAGGGTGATGACCAAAAATTAGGTCACGATGACCTACTTTTGACATTTTATGGCTATATTTATGTATCTCTGGTACTTATCGGTTTAGAATCATCAAACTCTGTTAGTTGATGCCTCTTGGGTTTTCAGAGAATGTCAATTAAAAAGTAGGTCACAGTGACCTTCTTTTGACATTTTATGGCTATATTTATTATCTCTAGTACTTATCGGTTTAGAATCATCAAACTTTGTTAGTTGATGCCTCTTGGGTTTTCAGAGAATGTCGACCAAAAAGTAGGTCACAGTGACCTACTTTTGAATATCTCAGGTATTTATTGTCTTAAAATTATCAAACTTTGTCAGCAGATGCATCTTGGGACTCTGAAAAATGTCAACCAAAATGGAGGTCACAATGACCTAATTTCAACATTTTATGGCTATATTTAAGTATCTTAGGTATTTATTGGCTTAGAATCATCAATCTTTCTCAGTTGATGCATCTTGGGTTTTCGGAGTACGTTGGTACTTTGACATTTTATGGCTTTATTTAAGTATCTCTGGTACTTATCAGTTTAGAATCGTCAAACTTTGTTTGTTGATGGCTCTTGGATTTTCAGAGAATGTCACCAAAAAGTATGTCATGGTGACCTACTTTTGAATATCTCAGGTATTTATTGGCTTAGAATTATCAAACTTAGTCAACAGATGCATCTTGGGACTCTGAAAAATGTCAACTAAAATTAAGGTCACGATGACTTACTTTCAACATTTTATGGCTATATTTAAGTATCTTAGTTATTTATTGGCTTAGAATAATCAAACTTTGTCAGTTGATGCATTTTGGGTTTTCCAAGAATGTAGACCAAAAAGTAGGTCAAGGTGACTTACTTTTGAATATCTCAAATACTTATTGGCTTAGAATCTTCAATTTTAGTTTGTCTATTAATGCATCTTGAGTCCTCAGAAAACTTCAATCTTAAAGTAGGTCACTACTCATGGTTTTTTATAGCTTTATTAAAATATCTTCAGTCCTAATTGGCTAAGAATCATCAAACTTTGTCGGTTGATGCAACTTGGGTCTTAGGATACTTAGGGTTAGAGGCTTCAAATACAAGTGATAGGTTGTACAATTTATCAGAAGAGCGATTCAAGGCCCTTGGGCCTCTTGTTTTTTTTTCAAGTCAGTTCTAAAAACAAGAGTTATCAATTAAATATGCAAAATATTGATGTGGAATAGACAAGCTTTTATTATCCTCAACTCACAAACCTTTGTTTAGTGTTTCCTAGCAGTACTAAGTTAATATCTGTTTTGTTGAAGTAAGAAAAGTAAGCATTTTATTTTGCTGTTATTACAGGATTTAGTGATCCCTATGTATTGATACAGTTTTGTCCAGAGCATATTTTCCATGATGTCCCAGTGCAGAAAACCAGCATTAAGAAGAAAACACTCAACCCAGTGTTTGATGAATCATTTGAATTGTGAGTACTAGATTTTTGGCAAAGGAAATTACTGTAAGAATCTGTCAGTGTCATTTCCCTCAATTTATTTTTTTGATGGAAAATCCTTTCCATTTCATTCTAATCATGACTCCCACTGTGTAGGGTGGGCTACAAGTAAATTGGGATCAAAATTTAACATAAATTAATCATCTGTCCAGGAAAAGCAAGGCCATGGTTAGTCATAATATATAGATACTTCAAGTTAGGAAGTGTAGATTTAAATTTGTTAAAAATGTTCCCTTCTTTTTGGGGAGGGGGTGTCACAATGGGTGAAAAAGGTTTTACAAAGCAACTTGTAGGATAAATCTTCAAAATTCTTTTTTTCTCAAGAACAGCAAAGCATGATTAGACATTTTCATTTGGAATTATTCTCGGGTAGATCAGATTCTCAAGCCAGTTCAAATTATGATCGTCAAGGAAAGAATGAGGTCATAAGGAAAGAACAAAATTTTGCATAGGAATGAATATAGGGGAAAATGCTGATAGAGAACATTAGAGAGATAATGATTAATGCATGTGGGCTTGGTAGGTCAAGGGTTTTTAGTTTGTTATTGTCCAAAGACACAAAATAATCAAGTTCTATGTTAATGACAATTGATAAAGCCCTTAAGTATAGAGTACTTCCTGTTAGCATACACTCAGAAGGATTAAATTTGCAGGGATGTGAACTTTATGCTTTAACTTTTTATAGCAAACTTAAAAATTTTTATGTACTGTGGTTTCATCAATTTTCGTTGGCATCAATTTTCGTGGATTTTGTAAAATAGACGTTTTCAAGGATACGTAATTTCGTGGACAAAAGCATTGCCTATACAAATGAATGTCATATTTCGTAATTCAATGAACATCATAGTTGCCAACCTTCAGCATGTAAAAATCTGGTCATGACCAGATTTGGAAAGTAAAAAATCTGGTCATAACGCGTTAACGACATTCACGACATATTTACCATGATTAAATTTTATACATATATAACACAATCCAAAACAAAAAGGGAAAATCAAAATTCCCTTTTTTCACCCATGGTTTACAATCTGAAGTCATTTTGGTCTTTAAATCCTTATTTGTGTCTCCACAAGTTCCTTTTTTTTTTTTTAAGTAAGATATTTCTTTTGTTATGACCAGAGGTTTGAGGAAGTATTTGCATTTGTTATGACCAGAGATTTGAGTTCCTCTTTCTACACTTCAGATGCATTTGTTATGACCAGAGATTTGAGGAACGTTCCTCTTTATACACTTCTGGTGCATTTGTTATCACCAAACATTTGAGGAACGTTCCTCTCACTCTCTCTCTCTGAACTTCAGATTCATTTAGTATGACCAGGCATTTGAGGAACGTTCCTCTCTCTGAACTTCAGATGGATTTGTTATGACCAGACATTTGAGGAACATTCCTCTCGCTAAACTAAGATGAATTTATTATCACCAGACATTTGAGTAACGTTCCTCTCTTACATGTGCACATACAGCGTGTATTTTTAAATACTTTAAGAATCTTAACACATGAAACTTTTGAGGAACGTTCCTCTCTCAAATTCACTTTTTCTGAGGACATCTCATGAATGGTCAAACATCAGGCATTTGAGGAACGTTACTCGCTCGAATTTATTACTGTAGGCACCTTAAGGATTGTCAAATATCAGGCATTTGAGGAACGTTCCTCTCACAAATGGTTGTCTTATGAATTGTCAAACATTAGGCATTTCAGGAATGTTCCTCACTAAAATCTAACATTGTTCACACAGGATACTTACACGTATGAGAAACGTTCCTCTCTCAGATTTGTATATGTTGATACCTTATTCATATTAAATCATGCATTTGAGGAACGTTCCTCTCACAAATGGTTGTATTTCTGTTGATTACTTATACCTCATGAAGCTTGCAACCCGTGCATTTGAGGAACGTTCCTCTCTCTTGTAATGAATATCTGTTGATACATTGCAAAGCCCAATTAAAAATATCTTTAAAGGAACGTTCCTCTCTAACATTATCATGTGTTTTGTGATATCATATTAGTTTTTATCGTTCATGAAGAATTTGGGAAAAATTCTCTCTTTTATATGAAATGCAGTACATATTATGCATATTAGAAACATTTTTTATCTGTACACACTCTACAGAATATATATGAAAAGTCATTTTGTCATTTTATAAAGTACTTTCTGAATTAAGGCTTTCTTAAAGCATACTATAAACTAGGTACGGGAACAAACAAATTTTTCCACTTCGGAACAAGCATGTACAATGTGCAGTGTTCATGTATCGATCAACTCAAAGGGCTTTTTCACTGAATGGCAGTGTGATCACATATTACAATGTCTTGGTTAACAGGCTAATAACCACAGTATTTTTCCTTTCTGCCACGAAATTAAACCAACGTTGTGATGAAGGTCAACCATGTTTCTTTCTAGGTTACATCTTTCCCTCATAATAGAGACGATTCCAATTTCTTGGTCTCCAAAGGTTCATAGCATTTTTTCATCAGTCAAAGTAAAACAGCCTCAACAAGTTTCTTGGGTGTCATCTTCTGTAGGAAAAATCTCACATTCAGTACAGCGGCATGTCGTATTACATGTATCAACGATGTGAATCAGGCAAAGTTAGAATAATCAAAACATAGTGTACATAATAACAAGTTTAGATGTATCATCTAAAAATTAAAGAGACTGGAAAAATCGATATAAAAAAATTGCAAAACTTAAATTAAAATTTTGAACTTTAAATTGCCCATGAATTATGAAAGCATTTCCATACTGTATTAAGAATATTGCAAAATTGACACTTTCTATCTTTCTCATACTATTTTAATGAAATACTGTAAATGTTTTATATTTAGAGTGTACTATATTTGGCGGAACTTGATATTTTAATAAGTTAGTGTAGGTATGATTTAGCGCATTTTAATGTTTTATGTTTAAGTCATTTAGTGTTGTACTTAAATTAGCGGATGTTTCTTTCCGCCAAAAAGCTAAAAAGAATACACCGCCAAATGTTACAGGTTTACAGTAATAACTCTGATTTGCAAATTATGTCTGAGAAAAATCATCCTGCTTTATATATTGCATGTAACACTAATTTAAAAACTAAGTGACAATTGGAAGTGTAAATTATAATAATATATAGGTCTTAAGCTCCATACTCCTCCAATGAACATTTTATATACATGTATGATAATATAAGTCATCAATTTTTTAAATTTATTTCTCTTTTTCCATTTAAGTGCATGCAGGTGTGATATAATATTTCATGGGTTTTATTAATGTATTCTTTAATTTACACGAACCTATTTTCATTCTGAATCTCAATTTTGTATTATATTGCAGTACTATTGTGTATTTCTTAAAACTGAAGAACTGATTCTATAATAGGGATTTGTCTAGTTACCCTAATTCCTGCATCATTCTCTACTTTAAAGATAAAGACTTGATGTCTTCCTGGCCCCAGTTCACATTGTAATTGTTATTAATCACTGCCAATCATATATGCTCATGGAAAACTAGCTATAGGCGATCAGCTCTGGCAACTATCTGTCCCCTCTGACTTCATGGACAGTAGAGATCAGTGCTGATGCTATGATGACTTGATCGTGTTATAGATAAACATGTCTCTGCAGTCAGAAGATTGAAGCAATTTACATTGTAGAACAGAACTCAAACAGTGAGAGAATTAAGATCTTGTTAGAGTTTTAAATTTTACTCCTTAAAATTTGGATAGTTTCAATATATTTAAAAAACAAAAAATGTAATGAAATTTATATACACTGTAAAACTTTACTAATTATTCTAATTCGGGAATAGCAAATCTCATGCTGAAATCTGGTTTGTACATATTAAATGCAAAGAAACATTCCACAGAATTATTTTGTAAAAAAAAAAAAAATAATAATGTGAAAACAACATCTCCTGCACTTAATTGTCAGATCTTAAGGAAGCAGGAATAAGAATCCATATTTCCAAAAAAAAGCCCTTAAAAATGTTTTATTGATTTAGAATATTTTATTAAATTATTAGCACAATCATGTATTAAAAAACTTTTGTACTGAGTAGTACAGTTCTACAATTTTTTATTTTTATTGATTAGCAATTGCTCATCTTCCTTCCCCCTTTTTAAAAGTTAGATACTTTGATTATGAAACTATCTTTGATTAAATTGTTGTTTTGAACATATTTTATTGAACGAGTCAAATGGATTGGAAACAAGTTCTTGCAACTTACAAGTTCCTCTCCATAAATATAACAATATGTCATGCAAAAAATACATTAAAATATAATAATTATAAAATTTTTAAGTGATGCAATTAAATTACAAATCAATTTAAAATCTACCTGTTTCATTAATAAATCTATGGACAGCAGAAAAAATATTAATAGTAATTGATACAGGCAAATCTCTGTCACCCCGTAATAGTAAATTAGTGTCAATTGTAACCAATTTATTTAACTGTCAATTTCAGAAACATGCGCTCTGAATTTCACAGATTTCCTATACCTTGGATTGCAGTGTGGGTCATTTGGGATTTTATAATTTAGCCAGCTGCAGCAAGGTCAAAAGTCTATGTTATCTGTAAAACTCGAGGTCAATTTATTTAACCCCGGTCTTATCTGCTTTCATTATGTAGAAATAATTTTAAGAAGATTTTCTTCAACTCTTTGAAATTACATTCACCAACACTGGAACACTGAGTTTCTAAGAATAAGAATTTCATTGGTGTACATATCAGGCATGTGTTATAAAAATGAACCTTTCTTATGAAACTGAATAGTGCATTTTTTCTCCGCTTTAACCTAATAAATAAATAAAACAAAATTACGGCTATATGCATAAAATGATGGAAGTATCAACTAGTGAAACCGTTACTCGTATTTTTAGTAATACTATTTTTCTTTTATCAGGAACCGGACACTGAGTACACAAGACATGATCTGCCAATCGATAATACATATAAAATGTTAATACATATAAAATGTTTAACTAAT